ATCCCTGGGGCAAGCAGCTATCGCAGATCTATTCAGCACATCCACCGCAACGTGGAAGCACTTTAAGAAGCCTCCCTCATGGAAGCTATCATGTGAAAATTGGATCTTAGTTCCTCTTAAGGCACATTCCTAACATCAGCCCCTATTGCAAGGTTCTTGGCTGAGTCATTACATAGAGTAAGCTCTCTGTGATATTTTGGATGAGTTTTGTTTTCACTGAACAAAGCAGGAGAAAACATGTATTTGAAGGTGCAAAAACTAAAACTGATGCATAACTATGACAGTGAATTGCATTAGTCAGAATGTACAGAAGCCATTCACAAGACAGACTATGCATAACAGAAGATAGTAGATAATAAAAGAAAGACAAAGATGGGGGAAATGACACAGTGAATCTGAGTCTGGCTAAGTCAAGATGGGATTTCCCTGCAGTGAAACAGGGTTCTATTACTTCTGCTACTGGACTCCTGTAGCCAATAGGCCATGGCTGTGGCTAAGCGCTAACCACTTTCTCCAAATAAGCCTTGCTGCATTTATGCGACCTGATAAGATCACAGCGTTGGATGCGTAGGCAGAAATATATGGCAGCATTACTATGCCACTGGAAGTTACCTACAGCTTCAAATCACTTTAATTTGGGGAGGCAAAAACCTAAGCTTGTGGATCAACACGTTATCATTAAGTTGCCTGTGAACAACAGATTACTTTGTTGTCTCCTACACGCTCCTACAGTCACTTTATATTTAAAGGGCAATGGTGAATCTGAGAAACCGAACTTGTAGCCAATGTTCCCTCTAAGCTATGGAGTCCTTTGAGCAAAAGTTCTACTCCGTGAGCTACTGGCATTAAAGCTGTGAGCAGGTGATTTAGCTGCTGCATACCTTAGTTTGCTCTGGAGCCCTCCTTCCTGAGCTAAGGCAAAAATGTGTGAGCCGGAGGCTAAAAAACTGTGAGCTGGCTCACCCTAACTCCGCTTAGAGGGAACACTGCTTGTAGCCTAATGGGAGGTTTTAAAATGACGACAAGACAGCTACTGATACTTACATAAGGTTTATAGATACATCCTCTCCAAAACAACAACTAGTGGCAGGAACAATGAAAAAGAAAGAGAAAACAATGACAGAAGCAGCCAACGGAGAAATGTAAATACTGAAGGGGGAGGGGGGAGGAAACATGTGGAAAGCAGAGAGAGCAGAAGACATTGTGAAATTCTCCAGTCAGCTTTGCTGTACCTCTGGATCCCTCAAAGCCAAAACTCTGTCTATGCTGGCCTCCATTTTATATGCAATGCAACTGCACAGCCAAAGTTAGCAGTGCTGCCTGTCCCACCCCAACAACAATGGCAACATCATGGGGGACATGGTATCATTCCTGCCTTGTCAGGAAGCTTGTCTCAGACTTCCAGTGGAGTGCTAAGACACCAAACTAGCAGGATGGGAAGCAAATGGAGTTGGGTGTGCCCTGATTTTCTGGGAGCTTCCTAATTACCCACCTCCGAAGATCCCCTCAGTGACAGGCCCAGACTATTTATTGGCGTCACCTGTTTTATCACCACCTCTGTTGCTGCGGGATGAAAGAGGAGAATCTCATCAGGCTATACTTACCTCCTCTATTCTCAGCTTAGCTCAGCCTGGTCCAAACCACCTAAAAATGTCTCTCTCCCCCCCCCACCCCCCATGGAGACAGGAGGAGAAATTTCCAAGACATCCCCTTTAACTTGGACTGCTCACCTTTTTGGCAAAGTAATAATGCGGCACCTCCATGCCCAGAAGTGACTGGTAGGCTGATGGCAAAGGAAAGCTTTCCTGTACCAAGAGACCATGTTCCTCGGTACTGAAGAAGGATATAATCAAACCATCCGTCTGGAAGAGAGAAATCGAACACTGATTGGGTTTCATGGAGCAACATCCTTTTCTGAGGTTTGTTTTTATTTTCCATTCTCACTTGGCAGAGTTTGCAGTATTATTTTTTTTTTAAATCAACACAGACAAGAACACACGCTGCACTTCGGTGTATGTTCCAGTAGCACAGAAAGAGCCCTGCCCTTCAGAAACTAGCCATCCTTTTGTTCAGTGGGGGAGCCTCCACCTTGGAAGCATTCCTCTTCAGAAGTGTTTGGGAGACTTCCAGGCTGAGGCCGCAAAGTTACTCCTTTGCAGATCCTGTAATGTCACTAGATACTCTTATTGTTAGGCCAGGTCAACATCAACAGTCAGGCCCTGAGAGAATGATGTCAATGTAGGATAGAACAAATGTTGAGCCCAGTGGCACCTTTAAAGGTGCCACTGGACTCAAACCTTGTTTTGCTGCTTCAGGCCAACACAGCTACCCACCAGAATGTAGGATAGAAACATCATACTGGGTTTCCCGCTACTCCTTACACTCTTAACCACAAAGGATGGTTTGCTCTCTTCCTTCTAAACAAGGATTCCGAATTCTAATTTAGTCCTAGTTCAGAACCCTGGTTTATAAGGAAGTGCACAAACTGCAGTTTGTGGTTTAGACACAACAAGCCACAGTACACTGGGGGATTCTTTGATTGATCTGCATACAAGTGTGGGAGGGAGGGGCCATGGCTCCCTGAAGCGCGATCACGTAACGACAAGCCATCTTATGAATAACACCAGCCTCAACAGCCAATCCCAGTGAGAGACGGACAGGAGAAGATATACCATGTTTTCTGTAACCTGCTGCTTCTTATCCGATGGCTGCTGGCTTGGGTCAAGAACAGCTTCGCATACAAAAAGCCTCGGTTCACTTTGGTCCCAAAAATGAGCGACAGGGATGCGGCCACAAAGATTGGGATGTTCAGAGCCATCTTTGCTGCTTGGATGACAAAAAGAAGAAGACCAAAAATCCAGACAACAGCATGTTCACACATAGGTCTTGAAACACAGCATAAATTAATACACACACACACACACGCCTCTTTACATCTGAAATAGAATAAGCTGCTTGAGCTCTAGCCAGATGAAACATTTGCTGTCACTCATCAAAAGCAGCTTCTCCCACACTTGAGCTTGTTGTGGACAGTAAATATTGGCTAAAGTCAGGTTTATCAGGATGAATCTACACTATGCTTATTGATTATCACAGAACTGGAGGTATCTGTGTCTGGGCCGGATTATCACAGACAAAAAGCACCTCCAGCCCTGGTAAAGTCAAAAATCACAAGCATCTTGCTTCCAGCTCATCCTGCATAAACAGAACTGTTATTTGATCCCACTTGGGGCCTGCAGAACAAAACCAGCCACACAGTGGAGCCCCACAGACCGCACAATGGATCAAAGGAAGGAAGCGCCCACAAAGACCACAGCAAGGTAGGCCCCTTCTAAGGCATGAATGTAAGGAAACTTAACTGCAGCGTAAGTTTCGATTCTTTATTTATTTAACTTTATGTATACCCTGCCTTTCTTCCCATTGGGGATCCAACATGGATTACCGCTTTCTGCTCTTCACAACCGCCTCCTTCTCTTCACAACCCATATACCCTGCCTTTCTTCCCATTGGGGATCTTTCTGCTCTTCACAACCTCCTCCTTCTCTTCACAACCCGGTGAGGTTAAGCTACGAATGTGTAACTGGCCCAAGATCAACCAGCAAGTCTTCTTGGCAGAGTGGGGATTCATACCTAGGACTCCCGGATCCTAGTCAGACATTCTAATCAATATACCACACTGGCTCGGAGGTAAGCAATTATTCAGCACTCTGGCCTCTCACCAAAACCCAGCAAAAGAAGCTCATAACTCTGAGCTGAAACACTACAAACTGATCTTGAGATCTCCCATCAAAACTGCACCAGGAAACACTGATTCCCCTGATCCATATAGGTTACACCACTGCACTAGTTTGCACATAGTTTATTGGGCCTTTTGGACTACTCTGAAAATGCAGCCCTGAAACATGTAGGCAATGCCCAGAGGAGCCACCAAGACCAGGGGAATGCTCAGCAAAGCTTCTAGTCATTAGGGGCGGGGAATCTGTGTCTTGGATAACTGGTCATTTTCTTGCAAGCCAGGTGGAGAGACAAAACACTTTTCAGGCCTGTGTTACATTAAAAGAAATCCTATACAGAACACAGTGTACTTTGGACGACCGTAATGCACTCTACATGGGGCTGCCTTTGAAGACATCTCAGAAGCTTGAACTGGTGCAAAGTGCAGCAGGGAGATTTCGGCTCGAGTCAGCTGCTCAAAACTTACCATTCCAGTGCCACATCAATTGTGTTGGTTAGCCATTGGCTTCTGCACCCAGTTCGAAGTGCTGGTCTACCACATTTCATGGTCTACCACATTTCCTGATACATTCCCATATATCAGTTTTATTCCTTAGACAACCTTATCCTTCCACTGCCCTCTCCAGACTGTCTAGACAGCAACAGATAGGTCATAGTCTTTATCTGGGATAGGTCCAATCCTCTGGAGTGGCCTACCAGAACAGCTATGGAGGATGCCTTCTCTGGCTAAATACAGAAATGAATGCAAGACATTTCTACTTCAGAGGGCATCTGAAGGAGAGGTGAGCTGCCTCGGCAGATTTAGCCTTGTCTTTAAAATCTCTGTGTTTATTTGTTAAACACTAGCACCTTATGAGTGCAAACAGTAGGCAGACATCAACAATGTAATGACACAAAGCCAAACTAATAATTCATAGGAAAGGAAGTGAACGGCACGAGCCAGCAACTGCAACCTCACTTATATGTCACGTCTTATCACAGATTAATGGCAAGTCTGACAACAAGAAGATCCTGATGTGAGGTTCTTATAATGCATATTTAACCTATGCTAATGTGCTTTTCTTGAACACTGGTCAAGAAACCCCTCGGTTTTACAGAGACCCCTTGTGGACTATTGAGACATTTTTAAAGCCACGTTTCTTCTGAAACGCAGCATACAAAGCTGCTCGCCACGCAAATATTAATTCAAGTCAAAAGAACTGCGTGTGACTACCAATGTTCCCTCTAAGCTGTGGAGTCTTGTGAGCAAAAATTATATTTTGTGAGCCCCTGGCATTAAAGTTGTGAGCAAGAGATTTGTCTACTACATAGATTAGTTTGCTCTGGAGCCCTCCTTCCTGGGCTGAGAAAAAATCTGTGAACTGGAGGCTAAGAAACTGTGAGCTGGCTCACACTAACTCAGCTTAGAGGGAACACCGGTGACTACTGAAAAGAATCCATGGAGCATTAAGGGATTCAGGGCTGGCTTAAGGAAACACTTCCCTCAGCCACAGTCACCAGTTCCCCTCACCCCAAGATTCACTGACATCATCTTCATCGTCTGGATCTGTGAGAAGGAGACCCTGGAGAAATCCCACTAGAACTTCAACAGCCATTCTTAACTAAGGCCTGGTCCATGCCCACAGCAGAACGGAGGTGATGGCAGAGCCCCCCTTCTGATGACAGGCAGGAGGGTTACATTTTTCTGTTTGTCTCCGTTAACGGTCCCTTTAAGCAGAAAACCAAAACCGATCGCAAGGCGGTTAAACAGATTTTCCTGGATGAGCCGGTTGTTTATCTGCAGGAACTTTTTTACACGAGAAAGCATCGAAGGGGGTCAACCCCACCCCACCCCATGCAATCTGAGGTAGCACAGCATTTTCCATCACCTCAGAATTCAACGAGGCCTAAAAATAGACCACTCCATGCAACACATTCCCTTTCTGGACATCTCGGGGCAAACACCATGAGAGGCATAAAGATACCCAATTTTTTACTTCAGTCAACACAGAGTGTTGTATACACCTATATTCTTTCTGCCACCATTCAGAACACTGATTCCCCTGATCCATATAGGTTGCATGCTCTGTTGCCCACACCTACAGCCTACACCGTTACTGTCTTTCTTCCAGTCAGGGACAAATGCCAGCAGAATTTGTAGCAAATATTCTTACACTACAACACTCTCCTGGGGAAGTGAGAAAAGAGACTGACAAAGCCAGACAGATTCTCAGGTGTCACCTACGAGGGAACAGCCCCAGAAGAGAAAAAACAGAATGCCACTTGTCCTAAAGTCCTCAGCTACAACCCTCTCCCAAACATCATCAAAAATAAATCGTGCATCCTGGGAAATTATGCTTTCCTCTCTCTGAAGACCCCCCCCCCCCCAGAACTATCCCCTGCAACAAAACCTGGGCCAAACTCTTGGCCCATACCCATTTTTCATACCTGGAATGCTAAAGTAGGAAGTCAAAAGGTAATCGGAATAATGGACAAGTTTGGCCTTGGAGAACCTATTTTATTTATTCTATTTTTCATTTATATCCCATTTTTCTCCCTAATCAGGACACTAAGCTGCTTTTACAACGCTGTGAAGTAGGTTAGGCAGAGTGTATAATTGGTTCAAGGGCACCCAGCAAGCTTCCGTGGCAGAGGGAATTCCAACCTGGGTCTCCCAGATCCTGGTCTGACCCTCTATCCACTACACTAAGCTGGGCTAGCCACATGGGCTACAAAGTTCAGCCTAAAGGGACACCAATGAAATGTTTCCAGCTGTGCTTCTGAAGCCAGTTGAGGGAGCTCCCCCCCCCTCCGCAGTCTCCCAGGACATTCAGTAGCTATTGCTGTATTTCAAAGGAATGTCTGCAGTCCTAGTCAGCCAAACATAAGCCGGAGCTGCGGCTGGCGTGAAGCCACACACCGGGATGAAGTCCGCTGGAGAAAGTCGCTGGATCATAGGCGTAATCTTTGTGGGGGCGGTGGGGCGTCAGCCCCCGCCGAAATTTTCAGGAAGGTGCTCAGCCTCCCCCGGGAGCCACCCTTGCTCCTAGCAAAGCAATGCTTCGGCCCAGCCCCAGCCCCCCCCCGGGAACCCGATCTAAGGCGCCAGGAGGTAGAACACCGGGGAACGCCAAACGCCGAAAGAAAGAGCCGCACAACAACAATCAGAGAGAGTCCTGCTGCCTGGGTGCCGGTAGGCCGTCACTCCCCCAGATATAATGTGGCCCTAGTTAGGTATTAAAAGTTGTATGTAAACCGCTCAGAGACCCTTCGGGGTTGGAGCAGTATATAAACTGAAATAAATAAATAAATAAATAAATAAATAGGAACTGTTCAGCCAATCTGCCAGCTATGACTCAAGAGAGAGCGGGAGTCACTGTAGAAAGCAATGGGCCTTGTGCACGTCTGGTCCCGCTCGTCAACTTGCTATGCCTATTCATCCTCTGTGGCCACTGTATTGCCTAGCCATTTAACAGGCTCTTGAATTAGATTCTGCTCTGCACAGAAATGCTACACTCACTGCAAAGTCTCAGATGCCTTGGCCTCACCAGTGCCCAAGCTTGCACTGGATGAACTGACGGCGGAATGCTGTTTCCTCCACGTACAGAATCCCATTCCGTCTCAGGGAAGATAATGCACAGAAAGGGACTGCTGGGGGGGGGGGGGTTTACACAGGGAAAATCCTGCACCTCCCTTTCTATTAGATTGCTCTGCTCAAGGCTGAGGGGCAGGAGTCAAAGAGCTGGAGACAACAGTACTGGTCACACATATGCTGCTCCAGCACAGGACTGAGAGTGAAGGGAAGCCTTAACGACTACTGTAAGGGGGTGGAGCTACAGGCCCCTCCTCTCCACAAGCAAGCCACCGGTATTTAAAGGTGCCGTGCCTGGTCACAGCAGCGAGGACTGCAATGGGACTGAAGGGGCTCAGGGCTTAGAGGGGCTGGAAAAGTTGGTTGGGGGAAGAACTGTGGAGCAGCGGCAGGCTCTGGGGTGGGGTGGGGTCCAAGGTTGAGTCAGAAGACTGGGCTGTGTCTCTCGATGAGCAGGCTCTTAGGGTTCCTCCTGCACAAAGGGGGCTCCTGGAGGTGTCCCAGCTGCCTTCTTCTGTGGTGTTACATGCTGCCCAGGAAGTACTTCTTCACCCAAAGAGTGATTAACACTTGGAATTCACTGCCACAGGAAGTGGTGGCGGCTACAAGCATGGACGGCTTCAAAAGGGAATTAGATGAGCATATGGAGCAGAGGTCCACCAGTGGCTATTAGCCACAAGGTATAGATAGGGACTCTGAGGCAAGTGATGCTCTGTCATCTTGGTGCTTGGGGAGGGGGTCAACAGTGGGAGGGCTTCTAATGTCCTGGCTCCACTGGTGGACCTCCTGATGGCACTGGTATTTCTGGCCACTGTGTGACACAGAGTGTTGGACTGGATGGGCCTTTGGCCTGATCCAACATTGGCATCTCTTATGTTCTTATGTTCTTATGCCCCCTCCTCTGAGTCCTCTTCACCTGATAAGGAGGCTGGACACTGGCCCTTGACATAGATTAAAAAAGGTAAAGGTTCCCTTGCTCGAAAGCCAGTCGAATCCGACTCTAGGTGCTCATCTCCGTTTCAAAGCCGAAGAGCCAGCGCTGTCCGAAGACGTTTCCGTGGTCATGTGGCTGGCATGACTAAACACCAAGGCGCACGGAACGCTGTTACCTTCCCACCAAAGCGGTCCCTATTTATCTACTTGCAATTTCTTGCTTTCGAACTGCTAGGTTGGCAGGAGCTGGAACTAGAGACGGGAGCTCACTCCGTCTTGCAGCACCCGGGTCTCAAACTGCTGAACTACTGACCTTCCACAGCCTGCAGTTCAGCGTCTTAACCACTTGAGCCACCGCAGCTCCACTGACATAGATAGGGGCTTCTATATTTTGTTCTCTTCTCTTTTCCCCCAGGATATGTGTTTGTGTGTGTGTGTGTACTTCACATACACAGCTGCCCAATGAGGTAACCACATAAATCTGATAATGTAGCTCTTAGCCCAGAAAAAAATTATGCTGCAATAAATGTGTCCATCTTTATTCATTTATTTTTTTGCAGTAATAAACTAATACAATCACCCTTTCAGACTTCCTGCTCTCCATTACGGAACATGAACACTTCCACTGACACAGCAAGGAGAAGGGACAGCATGTACCGCAGTCTCCTCCTTGTTGAGGGGGATGCCTATGTCTGTATTAGTCCCAAAAGGAGAGGAAATAAAGGGTTGGGGGGATTCCTATCCTTGAGAGGGAAACCAGCAACCCAACATGAAACACACTTTGCGGCTTCCGGTCGAGCTAAGATGGCGCATTAACGCGTTCCACGATCGAACGGAACGGGCGACGGCCTCTTCTGACAGTTTGGGCAGTTTCCAGCCCAACGCATCGCTCCCCAGAGAGGGGGGGGACAAGCAGGCAGCAGCGCCCAAGAGGGAGTGTGAGATTGGCAAGATTGAGCTTCGGAAGAAGCTGAATCGAGCTTTGATCTCCTCCCGCGAAGAGGGCAATTGCCGAGCAAGTATGAGACTTGGTGGGCATGATTTCTCCTGCACTCCTTCCCTTCTTTTATTGTTTTCAGATCCTCAAGCTAAAGTTAACAAACCAGGAGAAAGAGCAAGCTGCAGATTTCCTCCTAGAATTAACAGAACAACCATGACTTAATATAAAGTCACCATACCGTCGGCATGCACCATTTCCAGTTCCAGTCAGTAACACTTCAGAGGTCCTAACCCAAAATGCACGTAACAAATTGTTCCACCTGCTTAACGGTCATGGTTTTCACTGGGTACCAGTTTCAAAGCTATAGCAAATACAAAGCAGTTTTCAACAACAATTTCTGCTCAGATGAAAAAAAGTACAACTTATGCTTTTTTTCAACAACAATTTCTGCTCAGATGAAAAAAACCTTCCTAACCCAACCCAAAAGTACAACTTATGCTTTTTTTCCCCACCACAAGGAAGAGAAACGTCTACCTGTCAGCCTCCTGTCCGGCGGAATACAGCATCTCCTTAGCATCCTTCTGTTGGCCAGAGTGGAAATCAAAGAGAGTGACTGTGTCCATTTCAATGTCATAGAAACAGACCCTGGAATCGAGGCTCTGATCAGCCTACAAGAATACAAAGAAAAGTGTAAAAAGAAACACAGAGTGATGGGGTCATTCTACTTAGTGTTCTGATCATCCCCCCAGTCTGATGAACCGGATCTGGCAGGATGGAAGAAACACATAGGAAGAAGACAGAAAGTTGTAAAAAGTAGTAGATCCTTCTCCAGATGTTCTCAATCTCGGGCAGTAGTTTCTTGGACTACAGGGACTCTGGAAATATCTTTTTTTTTTTTTAATGCCCTTCTCAACAAGGTTATTGGTTCTTGTCTCCTGGAGCAGGAGGTGTTTCTGAAGAGCCTGGGAGGTGCCACCTTTGTGTCTGCAGGGAGCACCTGTTTCGAAACAGCTGTCTTCATCATAGGAAGATGCATAGCTTGTAGCTCCTGATACTTTGTGAACTATCTCAGCCCCCATGGCAGCCATTTTGTGGTGCCCCCCCCCAAATTACAAAAGTGGCCACAGACCAAACAAGGACCCCGGTCACACGGGCCGGATATCGCGGGGGTGGGGGAGGCGTGGCTAATTGCCCCGGCACAGTTTGATCCGCGATTACGCGATCAGATGCGCCGGCGGCACACCACCGGTCCTTCCCTCGGCGCCGGCAGGTAAACGAGGGACCGGAGGGGAATGCTGCGTGCCGGCGCGATCACACCACCGGCGTCTGGAGGCAGCCCGTAGCAAACATTTACTAGTACCTTGGAGGTACTAGTTTTTTTAACGCGCATTGTCGGCGGTAAGCCACGGGTGCGCTCCACTTCCCAGATGTTGGGGTGTGATCGCGCCCGGATAATCCGCCCACCATCCGTGCCCCTCCCGCGGCAACTTTGCCGTGTGACCGGGGCCCAGGTTGGAGATGCTTGGGGCTCCAGTTGTTCTGGGTGCTGCTCTGTGTGCTCTTAGTACCAAAGGCTGGCAAGCCCAGACTCACCTTGCTGAGGAGGATGCTGACTTTATTGCCATTGGCGTTACACTTCACTGAGGTGATGCCGCCAGCGCCTGGAACCAGATCAGCCAGGGCTTTGCTGCTGCAGTGCACTTTTGCTTCTCTGTGGGAAGAAGAGTCACTTAGGACACCCTCTAGCACAGTGAGAGCTACCTCCTCTCCAAACCACAACAAAAAGCCATAAGAGGCATTCCCCAATACTTGAGGTTGTCATAAGACTTTGACCTTTGATTGTTCTGTTCTTTTGGGACCGTGTGATCAGTCATTTAAAAGCAAGATCCCCTATGAGTAAAACACAGTTTGAGTCCAGTGGCACCTTTTAAGACCAACAAAGTTTTATTCAAAGTATGAGCTTTCGTGCACAAGCACACTTTGTCAGATACATTGAAATAGAAGTTCAGTCCATACATATAGGCAGACAAACAGAAAATTAGCATACAACATAATGAAGATGTTTTAACGGATGCAAAGGCCAAACAGGAATAACAAGCTACGTTTATACGGTCACCATTTGTTTGGATTTAATTTGGGGGGGGGGGAACATGGTGAAGCAAACAAATATATCAAAATTGGAGACTGATGTGTAAATGTATCCTTCTTAACGTGCCACAATTAAGGACACATTTACACATCAGCAGTGGCAGGAGCAAGGTGGCGGCCAGAGAAGAAGTGGTGGAACTTGCAGAAGCAGGTGACAGGGGGAGAAGTGGCAGCACAGGGGGGGGGAAGGAGGAGTGGAAGCAGGAAGAGAAGCGAAAGAGGCAGCTACAAAGAGGAGGAGAAGTAGCAGGAGGAGACGTGCCAGTGACAAGAACAAGATAGTAGAGAAGAGGCAAAGACAGCATGGGGAAGGTGGCGGTGGCTACAAGCATGGACAACTTCAAGAGGGAATTAGATCAGCATACGGAGCAGAAGTCCATCAGTGCCTATGAGCCACAAGGTATAGATAGGAACTCTCAGGCTGGGGCAAGCGATGCTCTGTATTCTTGATGCTTGGGGGGGGGGCAACAGTGGGAGGGCTTCTAGTGTCCTGGCCCCACTGCTGGACCTCCTGATGGCACCTGGTATTTTTTGGCCGCTGTGTGACAGAGTATTGGCCTGGATGGGCCACTGGCCTGATCCAACACTGGCTTCTCTCATGTTCTTATGAGGCAGTAGTAGCAGTGAAGGAAAGCTACAGGAAACAAGATGGTGACTGGATGGTATCAGTGAAGGAGAAGATGGCAGCAGGGGTCATTTCGTAGAAAAAGAGGTGCAGGAGCTCATTAGCATAACTTATTTCCATACTCCACACCCCCTGACATCACTGGAAGTGTGTCAGAAGGCAACACCCACCACTCAGGCTCCACTGGACTGTTTTGGATTGCTAGCTATTGGGGGGGGGGGGGAACGTGCAGATCTGTCCTCGCAGAGTAGGGAGAGCCTGTACGTGAAGGCGGGGGGGGGGCTCTGCAATTTACCTGGCTGCTTCTTGCTCCTCGTGGCCCAACTGAGGGCTGCTGGGCGCGGGGCTTGTTGCATGTACCCGCTCCCTGGGCTCCTTACTGCCGGAGCTCTGCTCCTGTACGCTCCTGCAGGAAATGACCCCTGGATGGCAGTATTGACAGTTACTGGAGACAAGTGGGGGGGATGCAACCTCCTGCAAGTTCCTCACAGGTCCCCTGCTTATAATTTCAGGGGGGGAAAGAACCGAGATATACAACCAAATCAATGCTTATTTGTACCTGCGAGAAAGATCAAAAATCTTAAAGTGAGCCAAGTCCGTTCCAACAGTCATGAAGTTCCCACAGATGTCCAGCAGGCATGGGTTCCCTTCCGATTCAGAGAACACCAGCAGCTGCTTAACCGTGCCCTGCAGAAAGGAGAAGAGAGCACCTTCAGCAGTGAAACCTCTGAGGCTTTCCTTTCGCCCTGATGACACCACATAAACCACAGCGGCTTGTCCCAATTTCGTTTTGACAAACCACCACCAAGTAGCGACCAAGGCACAGTGAGGCCCTGATGGCCACATCCAACAAAGAGGTGAACTCTTTTTAAAAAAGCAAACAAAAAAACCAATTGAACTTTTAGGTTCCTTTTCACAGATATTCCTATTATGATCAATTCATTTTACCACCAGCAGCTAACTGTAGGCTGCGGGAAGGAAAATGCGGGGGGGGGGGAGCGTGGCTGTTTGCCCCGGGGCAAAATAACGTGCGGTTGCGCCAGCAGACGTACCGTGGAGGTCCCATGGAGGTCCCGTGGTAGGGGGCAGGTGCCGAGCACACCACAATCCTGCGCCGCGGCAAAGAAGCGGTGCAGCGCGGCAAACAGGTGTTTTTTTCTCCGGACACCAAAGTGTGCGCATGCCCCGTTGGGTGCTCGTGCGCATCCCATGGACAGTTGGGGGGGGAAAAAACCCTTTATACGAGGGGGCATGGGTGGGTGCCGGAACTACCACCGGAAACGCGATCAGATGCCTGCCCTTGCCCCGCGGTTACTGGAAACTAGTACCTCCGAGGTACTAGTTTTTAACCGCGCATCTTCGGCAGGAAGCCTCGGGTTCGCCATGGGAGCTCTACGCTTCCCAGATGTGGCGGTGAGATCGCGCCCGGAAAATCCGCCTATCTTCCATCTCTCTAGTGTGCCTAATGCTCCGTGTGACCGCAGCCATAGTTTATTATTTTATTTTTGTATGTAACAGAGTTTTGAGGGTGATCACAAGGCAGCCAAAAAAAAAGTTCCTTACCACTTGGTTCTAATACAATTACAGCATAATTTGCCAGACACATAACTCACCCCACCCCACCCAAAAACCCACACTCAAGAAGGTAGCAGCTTGCCTCCCAAAGGAAGTAAACAAACATAAACACATCAGGTTTGATGTTTTCACAAGGTAAACCATGCCCCAAACCCTAAAATGCAAAGCCCAGGTGGTTTACATTGTAAAAATAGATGAAAAGTATGGAATCTGAAGCAATGCAGTATTTACAAAGGATATTATTCCCACTAATGCTTTCAACTCAACTGACAAAGAAGTCCAATCGCAGACAGGCAAGATCCAGAAGTACTTTTAGGCGATACAGTTGAATTGGTAAGCCTCCACACCAGGGCTGCAGCAAAGTATTTTGCCCCCTACCAAGCACTTTGCTTGGCAACCACCAGGAGTGGTCTAATGCTAAGACCAGCCCTGCTTACCTGCCATGTACGGACTTGGACACGATTCGGCTCAACAGTATAAAGGTTTTCTTCGTGCATAGCCAGCACAGGGGAGTCACAGGAAAAAGAACCTGGAACCAGATATGAGAGCATAGGGGGGCCCCCCCATACATGTTACAATTGTTACTGACACAATTAATTGTTCCACCGACATAGATCCAAAACCACATGTTCCCTTAAGCACTCTCTGAACAAGTTTAAATATATAGGTCATGCACAATCACATACATTCTTCTGTTGCTCCCTCTAGCGATTATTTCCCTCTACACATTTGTTTCTCTTTGAGACCAAGTATGCAACATTCCGCTCATGAAGGCCTCAGAACAGGTCTCTTGGATCCACGTAAAGGTCCGTCCTGTTTCCCACAGGGCCACCAAGAATGCTCCAGGAAGCCAAGAACACATGAAGCTGCTTTATACTGAATCAGACCACTGGTCCATCAAAGAATTGCCTACTCTGACCGGCAGCAGCTCTCCAGGGTCTCAGGTAGGGATCTTTCACGTCACCTACCACCAGATCCTTTTAGCTGGAGATGCCGGGGATTGAACCTGGGACTCTCTGCATGCCAAGCAGAGGCTCTGCCACCAAGCCACAGCTCCTCCCCGAAGCAGTGCAGCCCATAAGCAGGGCAAGAAGGCAGTGGATTAACCCCCCCCTGCCACCAAATTAACCAGGATTCGCTGGTATATTGCTTCTGTCATGCATGCTCTCCTTAGGTCATTGCCACTTCCCATAACAACAAATCCCATAAATTCATTACACTTTCCATGAAGAAGTACAGAAAATCAAAAGTAAGATTGAATACCAGTGTAACAAATGTCTTAAAATTTTAAAAAAAATTAATTTGGCTATATAGACAAAAAAAACCTAGAAACACACGACTGTGAAGGTTCTGAATCAGTAATACCCTCAATGTATTTTTAGTGAATATCTATACCTTTAAGATATATTGTAGCCCAGGAATCTTACCTGAATTTCGCAGAGCGGTACCTGAGATTTCAAAGATGGTAACTTGCTTTCCATTCCAGAATGTCACTGCATCCTAAGGGTGCCACAGAATTAAAACAAACCCACACCTGAGACTTGTACTCAAAATAATAAAAACCTTCCAGTCCCCACAACTCTTAAGTAGTAGAAATCACACTACTGACTACCAAGGAAGAGATAGTCAATAATTCTGTTGCTTCCAACATACTTTCATTGGAATTAGTTGGTTGAAACAGGGGAGCAGTTTTCTACCACATGCAATTTCATAAGTGACAAGAATATAGGACAAGATGGTTGGGGGAAGCGTTTAAACAAGGAAAATAGAAAAACAACATCTGTAAGGATTTTGAAGAAATAAAGGATCCCACTTCCTCCTCCAGAATCATCTAAGCTTTCAGGGGATAAGCAAAACCCTGCATTTAGCCAAGCCACAGGACAGAGGTAACAGCCATGGTGGGAGGTACCTTTGTGGCAAAAGCTCCATTCACATGCAAGTCAATGCGGAGGTTGTGGGTGGTGGCCGTGCTGAAACAGGTGACATTGAACAGGTTGGGTGACACCTGCACGACCGCCACTTGCTGATGGAAATGGGAAGACATGGCCTGCTCACTGAGTACCATCACACAGCTGGTGGTGTTGACAGCCAGCAAGTTCTTCTTGGAACCCCACTACAGGAGAAGGAAATAAAACATTGGTCTTTAAAGATGTCAATACTCCGCTTGAGAGGTTTGACTTTTTTACGGGAGACTTTCCAAACAGCCTTTGTCAGCTCACATAGTTCCGGTAGTTGATCCCCAAGAAACAGTCCAGTAACTAAACTTCCAAGTTATCCCTTAGTACATCCAGTTGTCCTTAACTTCATTGTTCCCAAATCAAGCGGAAGACTTCAGCATGGTGCTTCTGAAGCAACTGAGCCGAGCTTCTGGTATTCCACACACTTTCCCCAGTTCTCATAACCATTTCATTGTACCTCATATACTGCTATAATCTCCCGTCACTTCCCAATACAAAGTAATCTCACTTAGCTACTCCAAATTCCTGCTAGCTTCTCCTGGTTTGTTAATTTTTTATTAATCCAGTAAACCTTGCTCCTTGCAGCATCATTTTTTTTACATCAGAGTTCTTACAGTACTCTAGATGTCATCCCAAATGCTATTTTAAAACAACTTTAAATTTATGCTAAACAAATTTATTTCTGCGTTAACATGTATCCATTCATGCTGCAAGATGCAGTTTCCCACTATAGGTATGCCTATTCCTGGTAGTCAAACACTAATGGGGAGATTTCCCCCCCTGCATTTTATCACATGCTGTATGAAGTACATGGCTTGAAGCATATACAATAAAATCCATTCTAAACCTCTCCCGCACAAGGCCTATTTTAATATCAGTGTTTTCCACACTGCCAGCACACTGTGCACTTTCATTTCAAATTCAACGCATTTGATAGCTTGCACATTTCCTCTTTCTTGTACAGACGCAACCAATGCATTCTGGAGAAAAATCTAATTGTCCCAGTGAGCTATCTTTCCAGATACAAATGTTGTCATGTTCTTACTCTTGGTCTTCTTCTTTTTTCCTTTTAAAGAAGAGTTTGGGAGGCCTGAAAATATATGGATCCAGTTTACAGTTGTTTCATCTTGCAAGGACCACAGGTCAGGTGAAACTGATGTAACCAAACTGGTCAGAAAAGCTATTTCGTAATAAGTAAAAGACAGATGGTCTGAGTAATCAGAGTCTATCCAAACTGGCAGTATTGCTTACTATAGTAAACGAAGGAAAAAGAAAAGCCTGCGCACAGCTTTTGTGATCTACCAACCACTGTTCTCTTTTTAAAAAACAACGTAGGGACATGGCAACTGCTCCTCTTTCAGAATCTGGGTTTTATGGGACATACCAAGTTCTACAAGGGGCTCTTGCGATTATCTTACCCAGTGGAAGGGTGGGTTGATAGAAGGAACTGTTCTGTGCTCAAACATTTGTGCAGGGGAGGTCTGCACTCCTGGTTTTGTCACCACTTGCACTATTTCCTCATTGTAATAACTCATGTTTCTGGACCTCATTAATGGTAAACTGTTTCCATAACATACAACAGAATAAAGTTGTGCAGCTCTCTTTAAGGGCCAGAGGAACACTGATTATCTTCAGTTTCTGAATCTAATCATCAGAGGCTCATGGAAACCGGAAGTACCACATTCTGGGCTTTTTCAGATCCTTGCAAAAAAAAGTCAGCTAAATGTTAATTACACACTACTGCCAGAGCTGGAGGGTATTCCGATGGGAGGACTCCTTCCTTCTTTTAGGCAGGTATTACAAGAGACAGTGAACCTGTGGGGGCTCTAAAGAGAAGCAGCTGGTTCACTCCCACGGAAAAACCCAATGTTAAATGTGAACTTTGCTTGGGGCAGATGGTAACCCACCCACCCCCAAAGAAGAAAGGAACATTTTTGTCTGGTTTACCTTGATTTGAGTGATATTCCCCTCAAGCTCTGTAGGGGCTTGAAGTTTCCATCTCTCCTTGCCTTCTGATGACCATGAACTTTGGCTGGAGACAGGGACCCTCCTCCACATCGCTACTTTCCCTTTGTTGGTGCCAGCCGACAGAAGACCTGTTAGAGGTACCACATACTTCAGATGGAGTCACAGTTATTGCCCTACTATATTCATGGATGTAAACACCAGTTCCGGCTTTACATCCCTCTATAGAATGACTGAGAAAGAGAGGGTAGGGGTCTGCAGGGGAAGAGGCGAGCCGTTGGATCCAACCAGCTTTTCCAGTGATAAAAAGGGACACACACCCTTTGACCACAGAAAAAGGCTACACTGGGGATCGTGGGGCTTGCCTGGACAAAAGGCACATGGGACAGGACTGTAGTATTCATCTCACAGTACAATGATCCACAGCTGAACTTGCAGTTAACAAAATACACAGCCATTTCCGTTTGATAAAAAATGTCCTGTATTGCACACTAGGTCACTGAATGAAGAGAAGAAGAGAGAAGAGATTGGATTTATACCCCGCCCCTCACTTGGAATCTCAGAGCGGCTTACAAACTCCTTTCCCTTCCCCTCCCCACAACAGACACCCTGTGAGGTGGGTGGGGCTGAGAGAACTCTGACACAAACTGCTCTTTTTCAAGGACAGCTGTGCCAGAGCTTGTGACTGACCCAAGGTCACATCGGCAGGTGCAAGTGGAGGAGTGGGGAATCAAACCCGGTTCTCCCAGATTAGAGTCCGCACACTTAACCACTACACCAAACTGAATGGTTTCCAGACCTAGAAGATGGACATTTAAAATACTAGAGGACGCCCTGACCTGGATAGCCCCGGCAAGCCCAATCTCGTCAGATCTCACAAGCTAGGCAGGGCTGACTCTGACAAGTACTTGGATGGGAGACCTCCTTGGAATGCCAGAAGTCGGGAGGCGGGGGCAGGCTTTATTCAGCCACCTCTCTGAATATCCTCCAGCCCCCCAGTAGAGGTCTATCGCCAGAGGCCACCATGACTTCCAGGCGCACACAGACTCACACGCGCACACACACCCTCATGAAAAATACAAAAAAACCAAACCCCCAAAATTTAAAAAATAACAAAATGCTGGAGGGAGGTCAATGCAGTAAGAGCTTCCTCACCTTTAGCACTGCAATAGGACACACAGCTGATATACTCTCCTGTTTCAAATCCAAGCTGCACGTCTAAAGGCAGCACATAGTTCTCACCGAGCTCCAGGTCCCACAACCTGAAGGGGAAAAGTCAAGAGCAGGTTGGTCTTCTGCCAGCTTCAAGGCAGGCTTGGCTTCAAAAGTGAATAATGCAAGTTACTAGGAAGGGGGACAGAGCCTGCTTTCAGCACTTCTCCTCTCTGCTTCCCTTAGAGGTGAAGTCTCACCTCTCTCTCTCTCTCTAGTAACAATCCTCCAAGGCTGACAGTGGTCCCCACAGCTTACTGGTGCTCCAGGGAAGCAAGAGTTAAGGGCTGGGTGCAACAGTCTGCACAAAAACATCAAAGCCATATCCTTACCCTGCCCTTGGACTCACTGCTAAGAAGCATAGTCACTGGCATTCAGTAACAGCATTTACATCAGGATGGACAATGAAGGTGTAGCAGTTAGACTAACAATAAAAACAGTAATAACATAGAAGAAGAGGAGATTGGATTTATACCCCGCCCTTCACTACCCAAAGGTGTCTCAGAGCGGCTTACTATCTCCTTTCCCTTCCCCTCCCCACAACAGACACCCTGTGAGGGAGGTGGGGCTGAGAGAGCTCTTGCAGAAACTGCTCTTGCCCAAGGTCATCCAGGCAGGTGCAAGTGGAGGAGTGGGGAATCAAACCCGGTTCTCCCAGATTAGAGTCCGCGCACTTAACCACTACACCAAACATAGCAATGGTATAAAAACATTAACAAGAAAAATGAATAAAATTAGTAAAATAGTACTACTACTACTACTACTACTACTACTAATAATAATAATAATAATAATAATAGAATCATACAATTTTTTCCAGCTAATATAAGTTTACGTTTCCTAGTAGCTAAGAAACAAAATTTTGGCACAGCGTAAGTCACTGAACTCTGAATGTCTTCTAGGAGGAATTTACGAAGGACTTCTGGCCTAAAATCAAGATAAGACTGCAGATGGCTAAATCTAGACAAAAGGGGTAGTATAAGATGATCTCGTTCCTCCTGATAGAATCTGCAGAACAGGAGGACATGAGTAATTGATTCCACCATATTAGCCATGCATGGGCATATACGTTCATGCATTGGAACTCGAGTGAATTTACCTTGCAATACAGCAGAAGGGAGTGCCTCAAAATGGGCTCTGGAAAAGGCCCACCTATAGGGCTCATAGGTAATGTTAAATAAATAAGGGGCAGCAGTTAAATTAGGCCAAGATTTTAGATTTCTGAGGTTCTTGGATAGCGAAGCTTCTTCATTTTGTAATTCAATGTCACGAAGCCTCTGTGCGACAGCTGTTCTTGCCTTGTATAGGCTTCCATAGAAGAGATCTTCTGTGAATAAGCCAATCTGATTTAATTTATTAAGACTTTGTGTGGACCAGGCAGGGTAAGGGTCCAAGGCTAAAAGGTAAGGTATTAAACCCTTTGGGTTGTAATGAATTTTTAGCCAGAATGTTATTGCGTGCTCCCAGACCTTTGTTTCAACTCTGAGTAGCCCGGCCTCTCGCCTAAGTGTTACATTAGAAGTGCTTCTAGGAATGCCAAATAGAGATCTAAGGAATTTAGATAGAACCCTTTCAAGGGTCTTTAGATTGGCAGAAAGTCTGATTTGTGAACCATACAGGAGTTGAGCCAATGATTTTGCCTAGAAGAGTTTTTTTTAAGGCCATGGGGAGAAAACCTACACCTTTCCTTCTAAATAATCTAAGGCCCTGGTCACATGGCAAAGTTACCGCGGGAGAGGCATGGATGGTGGGCGGATTATCCGGGCGCGATCACACCCCAATATCTGGGAAGTGGAGCGCACCCATGCTTACCGCCAACAATGCACGTTAAAAAACTAGTACCTCCAAGGTACTAGTAAACGTTTGCCATGGGCTGCCTCCAGACGCCCCTGGTGTGATCGCGCCGGTGTGCGGCATTCCCCTCCGGTCCCTCGTTTACCCGCCAGCACCAAGGGAAGGACCCGTGGTGTGCCGCCAGTGCGTCTGATCGCGTAATCGCGGATCAAACTGCGCCGGGGCAATTAGCCACGCCTCCCCCCCCCACGATATCCGGCCCGTGTGACCGGGGCCTAAGAATGGCATTTGTACTTCTCTCTGCCAAATTAGCTGATGAGGACAGATGTGCTGAGAATTTGGAATTATAAGAAAAGGTAATGCCTAAGTACTGAAAGTTCTTAACTTGATCTATGGCATTTCCTTTAATATTCCAATTGAACTTCCTGAATGAGTTACCAAAATGGACAATTTTAGTTTTAGCAAAGTTAATAGTTAATAATTCGGTGTCACATTGCTCTTTAAATTTTATCAGGGCTCGCTTCAGGCCAATCCTCGTCTGAGATTAAAAAAACTGGAGACATGGGTTCAAATCCTGACTCTTCCACAAACGTAACACAGTGGCCCTGGCCTAGTATCTTTCTTCATAACCTACTGTGTTGAAAGGATAAAAGTGCCCCCCACATGGGGGGAGAAAAACATAACAGAATTGAAAGTTTTCAAGTGTTCAAAGCACTCTGCATCTATTAGTTCAATAACTCAGAACAATCCTGTAAGGCAGGTTAGTATTATTATCCCCATTTGCAGGTACAGAGATAGTATGATGGTGGTATGTTGGTGGCAGCAGGGAGATTTGAACCAGGAAGTTCACAGCTCCCCCTCTTCCTTTAAAGACTACATCCCCTCTCCTGCATTTGTCCTTTAAAAGAAGCGAATGGTTCACAGGAAGCCTGGAGATACCAAAGACTGGCTGCCGATTCGCTTCCCAGCCATTCTGATGTTCCTCATGACCACCATGGAGATTTATCCGAGGTACCCTACAGTGCCTAAATTACTTCTACCATGCTTATCAGTTTCTCTCACCTAAGAACTGGTTCACCAGTGGCTGTGATAAGGAGGCTTCGGTCAATCAAAATTATATCCGCCGGGTGGCCTATCTTCCCAGTCAGTTTCACCTGTGAACAAGAGTTACTCAAAGAGCCATACTGAAAACCAAGAAGAACTGGTTGGGTACAAACTGGCAGCAAAATGTTTGGGTTGGAAAGAGAGCAGCCATCACGTGCTTTCTTTTAAGGTGTGAATGCTCTTTTGCTTATAACAGGGAACTGTACAGTTTTTAATCAGGTTCTCCCCATAAAAGCCCTCTCAAGGTAGGTCCCTCATTATTCCCATTGCACAGAAGGGAAATTAATGCTGAAAATGGCCCCAATGCAGTGCTCCTATGGGGCTCTGAGACACATGCAGACAGCAGCCCAAGGAGCAGGAGATTTCTCATTAATTTCACAGCAGTGACACCTTCGCACTGGCCAAAAGGATACATAAGTTGTCCCTGGCAATTAAGTGCCTGGGGAAAGTTCCTGTTGCTCTAAGCATTAGGCTGGGTATTTTTCTGCCCTAGGCTACATGATTAAGTCTCTGCTGAGCACAGCCCCATATCACCCTATTTTCAACAGGTATTCAGGATACTTGCTCACGGTCCCATCCTATCTGAAATCCTCAACACCAGCAAGACACAACAGTCAGCCTGCGGGCAGCCTTTAAGGCTGCTTTGTGCAAACTTGTCAAAATCCCCACAAACAAAGCTCATCTTAAGGGATGCCTTCATACAGCTTACCTTCATGAGTTCCTCAGCTTGTCCCTCAGGACAAATTTTGTGAAGAGATAAGAGGAGGGCATCTGTTATTACTACCAACACATCCTTTTTTTCCATGAACAGCAGCTTTTGGACTGAACTCTCAGCAGTCAGCATATGGCTTGTTTTCCCTCTGTCGTTCACATAATGCACGGTGCCTGCAAGAAAGCCAGGATTGCTGCAGATTAGTCTGCTATAGCATATTGCTAATAAAATACTGCTGCAGATCAAAAAGTGAAAAACCCAGCCAGTTACTAGAAAATAACATTCCAGATACACACAAAAAAAGTCATCAGACTATGAGTTGAATCCAAACTAAATTTTCCAATGGCAGAATGGAGCTTTCCAGCTTTCCCCCTCACACTGCAGCTCACCGATCTCCACGAAATGTTGCTCCTGAAGGACAGGACCCTGAGGAACAACGTAAGGGGAGTCTGCAGCAGGAAAGGGCAATTGGTGGAAAATGCCAATTGAGTCTGGATTTAACCTTCAACAACCCATTTGATGTGGGTTATTTGAATAATCTCGCCAGCTATAAAATTTTGCTTTTTGCAAAATGCTGAATATATTGTTTCCAGGGTATGCTTTCCTCTTGCACTGTCAACATACTAGAACACAGGTCTAGACAAAAATCTGCCACATCATTTAAAACCTAGAGAGAAGCAGGGAGACATGTCATGCATTTATGCAGCCACTTATTTCTCTTGTCCCACCAGTATAATACAGTATTTATGTTGAAAACAGAGGGAAAAAGTTTAAAGCTACAAGTCTAGATTTCAAGCACTTCTATTTACTTGTCTGATTTAAACCCTTGCATGCTAAGAAGAGTAAATACTTCCATTGCAGATGCTCACAGCTTCAGAAAATTAGGCAGTACGATTCCTTGTTTGTGCGTGTGTGTATCTCTTTAAATGTTTGGTTGCATGACGGTGGTAGATAGACTAGAGTGGTTGAGAGAGGCAAGTGTGGTATGATTGGTGGTTGACAGAGAGGGGGAGGGGTTTTGGAAGTGAAAATGACTGGATGAGTATGTATGTCAGTCAGGTTTTACAGTTACAGCTTTGACAGTTGATAAGTTCAGTTAGTTCTGTGTGTGAAAGGAGAGACAAGCAGTTCTGTGTTGAAGCAGTTATAAGCTGAAAGCTGAGTGTCTAGGAAACAGTAAAGTTTAAGTGAACAAGAGTTAAAGGAAAGTCTGAGTGACAGGCTAAAGTGAAACAGTAAATGTATATGGCAATTAGATAAACAAGTGTTACAAAGTTACATGCAAAGATCCCTGACAGAGAGGGAGAAGATTGTGTGGGATACCAAAGCAATTGTTCAGTATTTACACATTACTAGTTACATTGTACTACCCTCTTATTTATGCTTTATTTCAATAAATCCTCTTTCATTCAAAAAAAAGAAAGAAAGAAAATTAGGCAGTGAGCTATTTAGCGTACAGTAAATAGAAAGGTTCCAAAGTAGCCTGTTAACATCTCAAGACATCAAGAGAATGCCAGAATAAAGTCAAAGAACCACACACAACTGTGCTTTAGCAGAGCTAACACACTCCTTCACATTACCTCCACAGCTTTTCCTCTCTCTCATTAGAATGTATTATATTCTTATGTGGACACATTTGTAGTTTACTGGAGTGGGGGCAAAGAATCCAATTATACCCAGACAATAAGGATACAGGCATACTCAAGATTCTTCTAGAAGTATGTGTAAGGAGATTTTTAAAAGGTAGCGGTAGTACTAAACTGTGCAGGATTCAGCATTAAACTGAAGAGGGAGCTTTTTATAGTCTGATAACCAGGGGGCCCCACTTGCAAATCAATATACAGGTCAGATATTTATACTGGGGATGAAGAATCGTGCAGCTAATTCAATACGAGTGGAAAATCCTAGGTGAATGGAACACAAGTATAACAGAACTTCTGCAGGCAAAAGAAAGGTAGCTTATTTGGAGCTTCCTTCATAGCCTCACTAATGAGGTATAATTGATTACCTACATAGTTCTATTGAAAGCTACAAGTGGCCCAGCTGGTTTTCATGTCGTGTCTTGAAACTGTGTCCTTAACTAATCCCACTTCCACTTGCGTATTTCAGTATCATTATGAGAGACCACCCACTGTTTCAAGACCCTCTAAAGTACGCAGGGGGAAATGGCCATTTCAGACCTTTAATTGGCATGTAGATAAAAAGCCTCTGCTACTCAATGACACAAAGGCTAACCTGAAATGCTAGCAAGAGGGAACAGGTAAGAACAAAACTGAATTAGAGGGTCCAAAGAGAAAAAGCAGCAAAGAATGAACACATTATTAAAAGGCCGATACTCAGAGCAGCACTGAAACCAGTCCAGCACTATCCACTTTTTCGCATACTAGACATGACAAAGTGGGAGAGCAAAATGTTGTCTGTAGAGATGTCAAAGAGGGTTGTCCCCCCACCTTACTATTCAAGATGTGGAAGTTCCATGTCTCTTGTAATGTCTAGCTTAGCCCATAAACAGTTGTAATGCACTTGAAGGAACTGTACTGTTGATCTGAAGTGGAACTGTCTTCAATTTGGCTGGGCACTAAGGTGTATGAAGCTAAATTCCCATGACGCTTCTTAGATCAAAGGTGTTGAACTCACTTGTTATGAGGGCTGGATCTGACATAAATGAGACCTTGTTGGGCCGGGCCATGTGTGTCATAAAATGTAATGCCAGGTAGTGGAGATATAAACTTTATAAAGGACACACACAACAAAGATTTTTTTTACTTAAAATAAAAACATGCTTAAAACATTAGCACTCTTGCAATATTTTGTTTATTTAGCAGTATCTGATAACGGACACCTCTTGCTCTGAATTATTGCATCAAAATGTCTGCTGTTGCAATCTTGAGTGTGCTGTTCAAGTGTGTATCTGTAAGCTACAAACCTACTTTTGATTTATTGACATTCATCACAGAAATCTCATGCTCAGAGTTCTGAGTCTAGGACCCAGGTTAAAACATGAAATGGCTGAGCAACTGAGAGAGTCTGGCAAAGCAAGCTATGATGCAGCAGCAGAATTGGAAGTAGAAGATGGCCAGTTCTACTGCGGGCCTGATAGAAGCCCTCCGGGGGCCTGATCCAGCCCCCCGGGCCGCATGTTTGATACCCCTGTCTTAGATGGTTAATTTCACAAAGTATGTGTTGCGTCACCACACATCAAATGTTTGATTTTAAGGAAATGCACTTTCAAGCTCTGAAAATACCTCTCTGCGGTTTCCTTTTCTTCTACAGAAGGAAACACCAAACATGACGGAAGTAAGTCAAATGAGAACACACTCTTTGGTGAGGAATGGACCTGCCATTTTCAAATGGGCAGCATCACAATTTTCTTGAAACTCAAGTGCACAACACCTTAGTTGTACTCAACAAACATTACTGCCCATCTGCTATTTCCTTTTATTTCAAAACCAGATCAAACACATACCAGTTTGTAGCCACAAATCCAGCCTCAACATTACTAGTTTAGGTGAAAGCAAGCCAAACTATGAATTACTGCTCTACAAGCAATGTGTTTTTCAAAAACAAGTCCCAGTTCCCAAGGGCAAAAAAAGGACAGCAAAACAGATCCACATCCTATTTTAAAGAAAGCCTTTTTGAATTCACCTGTCAAACTAACCATCCCTGTAAAAAAAATGCTTATCAGCTGCAATAAAAATGCAACAAAAACAATTCAGACAAAAGGATGGAAAAGAATTGGCCTGAGGACAAATCACTTCCAGCTATCTAGATATGCTTTCCATCTTTCTTCTCAAGACTATGCACAGAAAAAAGAACCTCCTCACAAGACACAGACTGAGACAGTCCCAACAACAAGCAACCCCTTCCCAAATTTTGATTTTTTTTGTTTGCCCTTACCATCTGCCACACCAATGAAGAAAGACAACCCTTCCTGGGGTCCCATTTTCAGAGGCATCCCCACTCCAGATTTTCTCCAGTTAAACATGTCCAAGGCTTTCTCGTCACCACTCACTGCTGCTTTTGCCAGCTGTACCAGATCCCTGCAGGCAAAAGAAAGGTGGATTAATTGGAGCTTCCTTCTTAGCCTCACTTCCCAACTAGGAGAAAACGGACAAGGACTTCCCATTGGCAGAAGCAATCACCTTTTGTGACCAAGAGATCTCTCAGTTCCCGTCTACAGTAGATTTAATATTCCTTGTTACCTGCGCTGAGCCTGATTTCCTGCATTAGTTCCACCTGCCGCCTCAACTTTCCCCAAACATCATCAACAATTGAGAGGTGAAATTATTTTTTAGCAAGGCCAACAACTTGCTTGCTCGTTACTATTTGCTAAAAAAACCCCGCAGTATCTGGTGAGAGTGACCTCCTTAAAATCCACCATAGGAAAGAGAATATCAGGGATTACGTACAAGGAGATAGGAAGTCATCAATAATTGTAAAAAGCATCTACAACTGAGCACAGAGGAGGAGTGCCAGTAGAAACAGGGCTAGCAATAGGACTACAAAGGCAGGGAAGGGGAGGCGATAGATTCATAGCAGGATGCAAGGCCTGGATGGGAGGAATAGACAGTTCCAAGTAGCAATAAAAAGGAAAGGAAAAACATGGGAGCACAACATGATGGGTAGATGACATATTTGGGGAGATAGCTGCATTAACCAGTCCCTCCACTGGGTGCCGGTAGGGTTGTCCCCACCCCCAGTATCTGTGGCCATAGGTTAGGGATAATTGATTAACTGTAGCCGCTCAGAGACCCCCTAGGGGGGTTCGAGCGGGGTAGTAAGTTGAAAGATAAATAAAATAAATAAAAATTAGCCGGCTGCTGCACACATCAAATGAAATGGGTTCTGGCCCACTGAAGCTAGATCTTTTAACCTTTAAAGCTGCCAATAATATTAGAGCCTGAAAGAAATAAAGAAGATCACAAGAGAAGACATCCCACTGTATTGCTTCTTAACTCAAGTTATACTATTGAGGAATCGGAAGTTAAAATTACTGAATTAGCCGCCACATTAATAGCCACGGCACGGCTTGCTATTGCTGCCTCATGGAAAAATCATGATCCTCCTTCTATTGCTCAATGGAGAAATAAATGTTGGGACCATTATGTGATGGATAAAGTAGCAGATAAATATGAGTCCCACATACAAGGATATGCGAGATCCCATGCCAATTTCAATCGAAAATGGAGTCCTCTTATAACATATTTTACAGAAAACGGTGTGTTACCAGCAAATACTAGTTATGCAGATTGGATACATCTTTAAAAAAAATTTATGGCTTGAGCATTCTCAAATATATATATATGTATGGATACTTTTAAGGTCCTTCTAAAATATATCTGGATTTATTATATGGTATATTATACGTTACTACTCTAGTAGAACAAGTGGAAAATAACAAGAAAGTGACAAGGTAATAAGATGTACCTGCTGACAAGTTAATAGATGGCATTGTGTTAAATGAATTTGCACTTACAGGCTGTATTAATGTTTAAATAGTAATCTTGTTTATGTATACTTGACTTATCTTTTAATAAAATCGTTTAAAAAAAATAATAATAATATTAGAGCCTGCTGTACAGTAATGGAGTAATGGGTCCAGACTACCATAAATGGGGACTATATGCACACAGAATATCAACCATTCAAAGGACACTCAACCTATTCTGCTGGAGCATGTACTGAATGTGTGTTTTTTCTAAAATACAGAACCTCCGGCAGGGCAGAATTCGGATCAAAGCACTTACTCGCCGGGAGGGGGTGGCCGAAAGATGCAGGAATTGAGATGACCCCCATACTCGTGCTGAAGCAGGGGAGGGCCCTGCACTCGACCCCGCTGATCCATCCTCCACAAAACAAGGCCACCAAGCTATAAAAGATGCAGGAGAAATTAATCTGTCGCAAATACAAATACATACGCACAGAGGGATATTAAAGGGCCTCCATCACAGGCTTCTCCAAGCCAGCAGCTGCATTTCTCTTCGGCCAGCAGCTGTGTGCACAAGTGTGGAGGTCTGATCAAAAACCTTGCGAGGCAAACCCGAGGTCAAAGTTCAGGCTTCCCACGTCAAAGTTCGAATTCCCACAGAGACGCTACTCTGCCGGGAGAATTGGCAAGCAGGACATATTCTTTGCTGCGTCTGCAGAAGTCTGTTGTTTCACTGTAGAACACAATGAATTGCTGAGAGCGAATAAGTTCTGCAACAATGAATAAGTTCTGCAACAATGAATAAGTTCTGCAACAATGAATAAGTTCTGCAACAATGAATAAGTTCTGCAACAATGAATAAGTTCTGCAACAATGAATAAGTTCTGCAACAATGAATAAGTTCTGCAACAATGAATAAGTTCTGCAACAATGAATAAGTTCTGCAACAATGAATAAGTTCTGCAACAATGAATAAGTTCTGCAACAATGAATTGCTGAGAGCGAATAAGTTCTGCTGAGAGCGAATAAGTTCTGCAACATTCAAGGATAATCTTGCCTGAGAAGAGTACATAGTGTGATTTTTGCATAGAAACCATTGACTGCAACATTTTCTCACTGTGCCTTGTGTGAGCTGCTTGATGTGGTGGCGGCTACAAGCATGGACAGCTTCAAAAGGGAATTAGATAAGCATATGGAGCAGAGGTCCATCAGTGGATATTAGCCACAAGGTATAGATAGGGGCTCTGGGGCAAGTGATGCTCTGTCTTCTTGGTGCTTGGGGGGGTCAACAGTGGGAGGGCTTCTAATGTCCTGGCCCCACTGCTGGACCTCCTGATGGCACCTGGTATTTCTGGCCACTGTGTGACACAGAGTGTTGGACTGGATGGGCCTTTGGCCTGATCCAACATTGGCGTCTCTTATGTTCTTATGTTCTTATGTTCTAATAAAAACTGCGCAGCCTGTCGGCTCAGAGAGACAGTCTTGGGACAGAGAGAGACGAGAGACAGAGCTGCTGAAGCTTCAAGAAATCATTGTGCTGTGTCGTTCTTGCACCTTATCAAAAGTCAACAAGTGGCGCCCGAACAGTCAACACACAAGCAACTTTTGACATGCTGTGGTTGAGCACTTAAAAGACTTCTAGCGCAAGAAATGTCAAAATGTTATCCCGTACACTGCAGCACACAGCATCACTGTGCACTGACAGGAGAAGGGATTCTAACTGCAAATTGCAGCTCCTAGGCCCTACAACAGTCAAGCTACTTGATTTGTATTGAGCAAAAGATTCTGTGGGGCTTTATTGCTAACAATTGCATTCACTTGGTTGCACCTTTTTCAAGCCATCAGGAAAAAACTCAGCTCAACAGCAGCATGTTTGCAGTTCAGCACTTCTGTCCCTAATCCATCCTGGTACTGTTTGCTCTCCTTCCAGCTCCCACAAAGAAAGACGACCAAGTGACAACTTCAGAATGACCTGAAGTGCAGAATGGAGGCCCCACCCCACCCCTTTTGCTGTCAAGTCGCAACTGACTTATGATGACCTTGAAGTGTTTTCAAGACAAGAGATGTTCAGAGGTGGTTTGCCATTTCCTGCCTCAGTGTAGCGCCCCTGAGCTTCCTCTGTGGTCTTCTATCCAAATAGCTTCCAAGATCTCACAAGATTGGGCTAACCTGGCCTATCCGGAATGACCTGAAGTGCTGAATTGAGCTCCCTAGAGAGCCAGTTTGGTGTAGTGGTTAAGTGTGCGGACTCTAATCTGGGAGGACCGGGTTTGATTCCCCACTCCTCCACTTGCACCTGCTGATGTGACCTTGGGTCAGTCACAAGCTCTGGCACAGCTGTCCTTGAGAAAGAGCAGTTTGTGTCAGAGTTCTCTCAGCCCCACCCACCTCACAGGGTGTCTGTTGTGGGGAGGGGAAGGGAAAGGAGTTTGTAAGCCGCTCTGAGACGCCAAGTGAAGGATGGGGTATAAATCCAATCTCCTTCTTCTATCTCCTAACAAAACCTGGAGCCATGACTACTTCCTCCTGCATGGTCCAGCTGGCCAACATCTGGGGGAGAGGTTTGGGGTTTGGTTCAAACCATCATCAACAGCAGAAGCTGCCACCCTCACTCTTACTATACTCCACTGAACCTCTGAAATCCTGCTCTTGGGGGGAAATGCAAGTGCTATTCCAACAACTTAGTATAAATCCAATCTCCTTCTCCTTCCTTCCTTCTCCACCGAACCTCTGAAATCCTGCTCTTCGGGGGAAATGCAAGACAACTTAAATGTCATTCTGCTGGCAGAACAGCACCTCTGAATCCAACTCAGTACCCGTCTGACCGAGAGCAGAGAGGACACTGTGCTCAGTTTCATTGCACAAACACAAACCGCTGAGAAAAGGCACTTTAATTTCAAGAAAGCACACAAAAAAGCCAAAGGGGGGAAAAAACCCAGAGGCTTTCATTGCCATTAAAATGGTAAACACTTCTCCACATGGGACTTTGCAGCTGTCTTACTTTGATGTGTTTCAGTAAATGAGGAATATGCTTGTAAAAAGAAGATGGAACGTGGGAGAACTCACAAGACATTGCTTTTTGCCAGAACATGTTCTGTGATGGTGCTGAGATTCTTCATGTGGATATAGGAAGAGGAAGCGGCTGAGATCAAGAACAAATACTGTACAGAGAGTAAGGATCGAGTGTGCTGTTACCCGACACCCCAAGACTAGCCTACCAGGGATGTGCCTTTAAGCTAAAAGTGACTTTTCTACATGCAGGGCTGGCTCCCCACCACCAGTCCAAGCAAAGTGATTTTTTTTATAAGCAGGGCAACCACCTGGACACACACCACTGCCTCTGATGGCTAGAAAAGTGATCACGGGCAATGTTCCCTCTAAGCTGTGGAGTCCTGTGAGCAAAAATTCTACTTTGTGAGCTACCGGCGGTGCTCATCTCCGTTTCAAAGCCGAAGAGCCAGCGCTGTCCAAAGACGTTTCCGTGGTCATGTGGCCGGCATGACTAAACACCAAGGCGCACGGAACGCTGTTACCTTCCCACCAAAGCGGTACCTATTTATCTACTTGCAATTTCTTGCTTTCGAACTGCTAGGTTGGCAGGAGACTGCTAGGTTGGCAGGAGTTTTGTTTTGCTTGTACACACCTCCTTTTGCTTGCCCTAGCAACACAGTGTGCAACACTCAGAACAACTAAGCGCTGCAAAACATTTTGGAACTTTATGCAGATGCGTAACAAGCCTAGTGCTATTAGGTTCTACAGCAAAGTCTGCTAGGTGTTGCTGCTTACCCTGTCCCCAGAAATGAGGCGGGTGCCATTGGTGCTCCAGCACAGGACTGTGATTTCGCCACGGTGGTAGGAGGGGACTGGGTGGTGCTCCTTGTCTTGCTTGTTGAATACCACCACTTCCCCCAGCTCCCAGCCCATGGCCAGGATCAGCTTGGATGGATGCCAGCTGAGACACGTGGCCCGGAAATTCCTCTCTGTGCACACATCGGGCAGGTGCTCCCCCTGCAAAAGAAAATGCCACAGATCACTTGATGTGTCTCCTGCTAAGCCTCGGGAAAAAAGGCACTCACCAAATCAAACTTTTATCCTCTGGTTAACATCTGAACTGAACTGAACAGAGTTGCTGTCAGTTCTAGCCCGCGCTGGTGTGAGCTACCAGCCTTGTCCCCAGCTCGCCGTCCACCCAGCGGTTCGAAAGCTTCGGCGAGTAGATAAAATGGGTACCACTCCTTAGAGAGGGTGGGCACACTAAACCCCCGTGGGGGAGGTGTTAGCCGGCGAATGGAATGTCCAGCTCGGAAGCCTGGGGAAAAGACCTCTTCGGCATTTCGAAAGGTATTATTATTATTATTATTATTATTATTATTATTATTATTACCAGAAAACATTCCTATCCACACGCTCAAAAAATCTTCGAGGACCTGCTTCACAATCCACTGTCTGAGGCACAAAGGGATGGAAACACAGAACACAACGCCTTTTCTGCAAGGGCAACAAGATTGCCTGGCTAGCTTTAAACACAATTCTAGAGGGCTTGCAAGGCTCAGAAAAATCCCCTAATTTGTGCCATTGCTGTTGGTTAATTTTTTTCGGGTTTCCACTACTTGTATTGGCTGCTTTCATCGGACAGAGCATGGTGCAGTAATTAAAGTGTAATTAAAGTATCTGGGAGACCCAGGCTCAGATCCTCACTCTGCCATGGCAGCTCACTGGGTAACCTTGGGCCCATCCCTTTCTCTTCCAGCCTAGTCTACTTCACAGGATAGGTGTAGAATAAAACAGAGGAGGGGAGGATGTTGTGAGCCATTTTGCATGACCATTGTGGAGAAAAGTTGAGTATAAATGAAGCAGATAAATATTTTTGATACTGCTTTCTTATGATTTTGCAACTGGCTGTTGGGCAGCCTGCAGATACACAGGCCAGGCAGGCAAAGACAGAAATATTTTAATAATAAACAAAAATTTCCATCCTGTCATCTGCAATACAATTAGTTTCTGCCTCCTTTTAAAAATATTTCATATACATTATAGAAAACCATAGAAGCAATTAACAGTTCACATGGAAAAAATGTTGAGGAAAAAGCCTTTATCACTTTCTCTTCTAGGCTAGTATCTCAGTGATTCATACTAAGCAATGATTTCACACCATGCAAAAAATCAAAACTAGGGGTTACAGGGGTTACTCTGTGGACCATCTGCTGGAGGGCCTTAGACAAAGCATACAGCAACTCAGCACAACCAGGAAATAAAATTAAAATGGTGATAGGCAGGCTCACACCTTGCAAAATTACTTGGAGGTACATTCTCTTTTGTGGCCCCCACCTTGTGGAATGCTCTGTCTGAGATCTGTGGACCATCTGCTGGAGGGCCTTAGACAAAGCATACAGCAACTCAGCACAACCAGGAAATAAAATTAAAATGGTGATAGGCAGGCTCACACCTTGCAAAATTACTTGGAGGTACATTCTCTTTTGTGGCCCCCCACCTTGTGGAATGCTCTGTCTGAGGAGGTCAGGAAAGCCCACACACCTCTGGCATTCCACAAACTATGTAAAACAGAATGGTTCAGGAAAGCATTTTACTAAGACAATAACATCTGGACAGGTAGTATATCCTGAAAAAATGACCCTTCTATTCGCTATCATCAACCTATATTTTCTTAGTTATGAATTGCTCACTCTTGCTTGAATACTTAGTGTGCTTGTAATTAGGAAATTCTTCAATAAAAACTATTTAATTTACTCTTCAAATCTGGAGTCTTCCTGCTGTACCGGACCTTGGAATCCCTGATACCCCTCTGGCCTCCCCTGCTAATTTCCCCAACATCAAGCCAGGCCATTGGTGGTAACAAGACCAACAAGATTTCCAGGGTATAGCTTTCGAGAGTCAAAGCTCCCTTAATCAGATACAAGTAGGAATGGAGATCTGAATCTTTATATTCCAGTCAGAAGGTGGGAGGTGTGCAAAGAATGTTTGTAAAGTAGCAAAGGTAAAATTCATATTGTAATAAGCTTGATTAGAGCAGAGGAAAATGCTTGGGGGCATGTAAAATGAAGTTCCTCAGGAAAACTTTTCTATAAAGGAAATAAGGCTATATTATAATGGAATGGTTCAAGAAGGGGCTTTAATTAAAGAGAACAAGACTAGGGGCTATACTATATATTATACATAATTTGTTTGCCATATGTATTATCTGGCTCTCACTTCATAGTTTTTACTGTTTTGTTAACATATGTGTAATGCTTATGCTTTGGGGTTTTTTTGTAATCCTAGTTCTATTTTTGTAATCCTAGTTCTATTGCTTCGCTTACCAGATATCTTACCAGATATCTTAATTCTATTGATTTTATCAATTTACATTGTATAATATGCCTTGAATCTCAATGAAAAAGGAAACTATGAATAACGTAAACAAGTAAACAAATTGCAATTTGTAGTTTGATCCTAACAAGCAACACATTCTTAAATTAAGTAGCGTTTTTTCACTTAAACAGTATCTGACAAATACTAGCAATTAATTTAAAGTCGAACACATCTAATAGAATAGAATGCAACCTATGGGGGAAGGAATCATGTATTTAAAAATAACAAAGTCCAGTGGCACCTTTAAGGCCAACAAAGTTAAATTCTGCAAGCACACAAAAACTTATACCCAGAATTAAACTTTGTTGGTCTTAAAGGTGCCACTGGACTCAAACTTTGTTCTGTTGCTTCAGACCGATACGGCTTCCCCACCTGAATGTATAAAAAAAGAGTTAAATGAAAATGAACTTCCCTCTCATTACAAATCTAAAAGATCTTTAAAGCACTGACCTGTTCTTGAAAAATGTCCACACTGCCACCAGAGTTAGAACTGATGGATGCCACAGCCAAAAATGGATGCAGATCATGCCAGGATATATGCGAAGGGGGCCCACGGGAACTAGGCGCTTCAGTTCGATGATCTACATACATAGCCATGGCAGGAGTTCATAGATCTACAAAGACAAAAAAGTATCTAGAAACCAAGTTGTTGCAAATTAAACTGTCACCAAAACTGAACATCTATTTGATAGAAAGTAGTTTGAAAAATGAAAATCTATTAAGTATAAATACAGCACCTCTGTCATAAAATTATAATATGACAAGGACCAGAAATGTACATTTATTAAAAGGCTCTCTTTAGTAATGAATTCTCTACCATGTAAGACTGAAGCTGGCTAGCAGAGGTCTTATCAACTGCTCCTATCATTCACTTGTGGGTTAGAAGAGCCCTCAATTTAACCAGGGACCACAAGGATTCTAGTCATATTTCCATAACATTATTCTGGCAGCAAAGGCCACAGGAAGCAAGCATGGCATGAAAGCAGTTACAGCAATAGGATGTGCTGAGACTTTCTTTGGATTGTTTATCAGAAAATATAACCAGGTGCAGTCCTAGTTTTCCTCAATCCAGGATGTTAAATTCTAATTACCAGTTACTGGTGTCACAGTTCTTTTACCCTAAGCAAGGCCCTTTTGTTTTCAACAACCTGCATGAACCAAGCAAGAGTTCACTAGGCAAGACTTTTCCTGACAAAGAGATGTACAGGAAGGGAAAGTTTTAACCTTACATCTTCCTGAACTGCATATCCACATACTGTCCAGCCTGCCAGTTAAGAATCTTCTCCAAAGCCCTGCTCTTTGTGTCTCCACCTGCAAACAAAAACCAGGTGGAGACCAAAGACAGAGCTTTCTTAGTGGTGGCTCAACACTTGTGGAATGCCCTTTCCCTTGAGGCTCACCTGACACCTACTAGACTCTTTCAGGTGCCTGGCAAAAACATTTAAATTTACTTGGGCTTTTAATTAATGGGTTGGTCTTTCTAAATTTTCCCCCCTAGTCATGTTTTACAATCTTAAAACCTGTTTATGTGAGTTGTTTTAGACTGCTAAATGTTTTGTGCTGGTTTTATGTTCTGATTGGGACTTTTAACGGTAGATTTTTCATGATTAATTAATGCTATTATTTTAATCATTTTTAAGCCACCTCTAGCAAGGTATATGGAGAGGTAGCACACACCATTTCTAACGGTAGATTTTTCATGATTAATTAATGTTCTTATTATTTCTTACACCATTTCTAAATAAATAAATAAATATCCAGGTACAAATGTTACGTGCAAAGTCCCTTTTTTTTAAATGTCACTTCATCTCCAAGCCAGAAGAAGAGAGAGAGATTGGATTTATACCCTGCTCTTCACTACCCAAAGGAGTCTCAGAGCGGCTTACAATCCCCTTCCCTTCCCCTCCCCACAACAGACACCCTGTGAGGTAGGTGAGGCTGAGAAAGCTCTCTCGAGAAGAACCTGTCCTTGAGAGAACAGCTCTGAGAGAACTTAGGACTGACCCAAAGTCACACCATCAGCTGCATGTGGAGTGGGGAATCAACAGCAGTTCTCCCAGATTACAGTTCACGCTCCTAACCACTACACCAAACCAACCACTACACCTCCCCTACTGAAATACAGCCTGGATCATACACTGGCAAAAACAAAGGACCCCACACACACACACACACACAAACAAGGTTCCTAAACTACGGACCATGTCTTCAGAACCGCTTAAGAACATAAGGGAAGGCTTGCTAGATCAAAATGAAGCTCTATCTAGCTCAGTGTCCAGTTTCCAATAGTGGCCTACTATTGGAAGCCCAGAGGGCAGGTCAAGAATGCAGTCGCCCTTCCCTGTTAATGCTCACCTCACACCAGTGACCGGTGCTCACTGTCATACTTCCTTTGATCATAGAGCTTCAGCTATCCCAGCTAATAGCTGTCGATATGCTTCCCCTTGATGGAATTTGTCTGATTCCCTTCTAAAAAGTTCTAAACTAGGGACCACCACCACAACAGGTGGCAGAAAATTCTATAAATTATGCATTGTACGAATAACTTTTGTCTTTTGCCCGCCATGAATCTACTGCACATCAGTTTCACTTTGTGGACTCCTCAAGTTTTTGTATTATAAGAAAAGGAGAAACGATTCTAATGATTTTACAAACCCCTGTCAAGTCAATTATTCCCCCCCCTTTTTTTAAAAAAACCCACCAAAAAGGCCTTTCTCCAGAGAAGGTCCTCCAACCCTTTGATCTTAATTCATTGCTTTTTTAAACAGCTTTTCAATATCATTTTTGAGATCGTTCCCTCACTGCTGACCTGGGGTTTTGTTAAGAGGTTTACCTGCCCCCTCCATGGTTGGGAGAAACGACAAAGACTTAGGATTTCTCACTACCCTACAGGTGTTAATAAGTTTAGCATAATTAGTGAATGGTCTCCATATTTTTTCTTGATTAGATTTGAATTATACAATTACTTTATTTCATTAGGTACATGCTGCATTTCATGGCTCCGTGACACCACTGTTTCCTATACTCCAACATAGTCATTTGACTATGTAATGAAGATCAGCTCAGTACACCAAGGAACACGGAACGCTGTTACCTTCCCACCGAAGTGGTCCCTATTTATCTACTTGCAATTTCTTAATTTCGAGCTGCTAGGTTGGCAGGAGCTGGAACTAGAGACGGAAGCTCACTCCATCATGCGGCACCCGGGTCTTGAACTGCTGAACTACTGACCTTCCACAGCCTGCAGTTCAGCGTCTTAACCGCTTGAACCACCGCAGCTCCCAGCAGCACCTTAAGGCCTAATAAAATTCAATCCAGCAAAAATTTAAGGGGAGTCACACAGTGCACTTCATCAGATGCGTTGGGAGCATACATCTCTTGGGCAGGGCTATTATACAGCCTATTCTAGATGGATAGCCAAGTTGGTCTGTAGCATCAAAATGAAACAGGAGTCCAGTAGCACCTTAAAGTCTAATAAAATTTAATCCAGCATAAACTTTCTGTGTTGGGCCAGCATACATCTCTTAGGGCAATGCTACTATATTAACAACAGAAAGGCTAGGCATTATTGAGCTGCTTCTTTGCTTCACTCAGTGAACAAACAGGTCACTTTGTGTGTGTGTGTGTGTGTGATTTGCCACCAAGCTGCTGTTGATTTATTATGACCCTACTAGAAATAATGCCCGTTGTGGAAATAAATACAACAGGATCCAGAAAGAGGCTCTGGGAGAGTGCTCTGGCTTTGGGCAAACAGTGTCAGTTTCCTGTGGCGACCTCAGCAGGGTTTAATGACAGAGTCCACTGTTTTCTCTGGAGGGACTGATCTCTGCTACCTGAAGAGCATTTGTATGTTTAGTTATCTGTAGCCCTCACCTGGAGAGTGATAACCATTGTTACCCATTCTCCTCTCCCCTATGAGGTATGTTATACAACTGAAAATTCCAACTGCCTTTTCCAACGCCTTGGGGGGGGGGGTGAGTTTGAGGTGTGGAATGGACTGAAGTCCAATCAGCTTCCATATGCAAAAGACCAGGTTGTCGCAGCAGTTGTGGTGTGGGCGGGACCCGGCCTTTGCCTTCTGATTGGTGGCGATATATGCTGAGGAGCAGTGCCATCAGCCATACACTAAGGGAGTGCATTTTAGAATTAGAACTTTGGCACCCACTATTCAATTATATATAAGGAGAGAGGAGAGAGGAGTTAATGACCTCCAAAATGGCCTGTCCTTAACAGCCTTGCTCCGGTCTTGCACAGACCCAGCATGACATGGATTGACTCCATCAAGGAAGCCCAGGTCACTTTTTAAAAGGCGCCATACTGCTACTCGAGAGTTAGTTAGCCCCTCCCGGTTCCTTGGTCCTCCCCCCCCCCCGTTTTCCCGCCCTTCCCCCCCCCCCCCCCCCCACCTCGCCCGCCTCAGCACTGCGTGGGGGAGGCAGTGGCAAGGGCCAGCCCCCAGACAAGAAGCGGCCCCCAGAGGAGCAGGCACCTGCTGTCTTGGGGGGGGGCCCCCCCTCTCTCGCTTTGTTTTTGCCCCCCCCGGGGGGGGGGGGGGATGCAACGAAACATCCGTTGGAAAGAGCCAAAGTCGCAAAATGGTCCACAGGTCTAACCGCCACCCTCACACACACACCCCAACCGCCACCCTCCGGACTCAAAGCCTCCCTCCGCAACCCACGAAGTTTATCGAAATACGGGAAACGCCGAAGGCCGCCCGGCCGCCCCCAGTCAGTCTCTCAGTCGGCCACTCACCCCCCCGCCTCAGAGCGCCGCCTCAGCCGGGTAAAAAGGAGGCCTGGCGGGCCTCAAAACGGTCTCCGCCAGAGGCTTCGCGTTACCCTTGGCAACCCCAGGCGACCCGCGGCGGAGACAGCCGAAAGGCGGACCGAAGAGTCACGAACTCTCCCGATGGGGAAGATGCGTCCGGAAATTCCCGAAGCCTCTCAATGCCTGTGGCGATGAATGGAACCGGACCTCTCGTCCCGGGAATTAAACGGGGGGTGGAGAATTCGAAACGGGGTATAAACCGCGTGGGTGGCCACGGTTCTGTCTAGAGCTACATGAAATACACTTAGAGGTGCATTGTCTGAAGAAGTGAGCAGTGACTCAGAAAGCTCATTCCCCGCCACAAATTTTGTTAGTCTTTAAGGTGCTACTTCAGTGCGTTCCGTGCGCCTGGGTGTTTAGTCATGCCGACCACATGACCACGGAAACGTCTTCGGACAGCGCTGGCTCTTCGGCTTTGAAACGGAGATGAGCACCGCAACCCTAGAGTCGGACTCGACTGGCTTTCGAGCAAGGGAACCTTTAACTTTACTAAGGTGCTACTGGGAGCTGCGGTGGCTCAAGTGGTTGAGACGCTGAACTGCAGGCTGTGGAAGGTCGGTAGTTCAGTTTGGGACCGAGTGTGCCGCAGGACGGAGTGAGCTCCCGTCTCTAGTTCCAGCTCCTGCCAACCTAGCCACATGACCACGGAAACGTCTTCGGACAGCGCTGGTTCTTCGGCTTGGAAACGGAGATAAGCACCGCAACCCCAGAGTCGGATTCAACTGGCTTTCGAGCAAGGGAAACTTTACCTTTTAAGGTGCTACTGGACTCTTGCTCTTTTGCTGCTGCTTCAGACAGACTAACGCGGCTACCCATCTTGATGAAATGCTCTTGAACGTTATATGTATAATGCTGACCTTTTTATTTTACGTGTGTACATGAATCCGTTTTATTTATTTGTGTGATTTATGGTCCACCACCTTTCTCACTGGGACTCAAGGCGAATCACCCAGACTGAGTCAATACAATCAGCAGGATGGGGCATTCAATGAACAGTGAAACAGGATTAGGGTTCAAGAACTCACCAGAAATCTAAAAAACAGAACTGAAGCAAACCATTAGTGTTAACATGTCACATTAAATTATGCAGAATTACACAACGGGGTCCAGCGCACAGCAAACTATGCAGTCCCTAATACAAAGTTCAATTAACTTTGTAAAAGTCCAGGTAACTTTGTGAATCATATTGCCTGCACAGAAAAGCTTTCTTGAATAATTCAGTTCGTATGTATTCATTTCTACCCGCCTTTAAATTCTTCCCCATGGGAACCCAAAGCAGCTTACATCGTTCTCCTCCCTTCCATGTTATCCTCAGAACAACTCTGAGTGTGTGAGCAGCTGTTGGTCAACCAGCAAGCTTCCCTGGTAGAATAGAAATTCGAATCTGGAACTCCCAGGTCCTAGTCTAGCACTCTACCCACTCCACCACACCGGATATAGTGTGCATGAATCCATTTCAAAAGCAAAAGTGTGAGCGTATGTATAGTATATCTTACCTGAGTATACTAATCTGTTTTAAAAGAAAATCAAGAGGATGTATGTGTACATGTGTATATCTTATTTTGTGCATGCATGAATCCATTTTTAAAGCAAATGTAGATGTAGATGTGCATATTTATGTTTAGTTAATTTGGGCACATGAATCCATTTTTAAAGCCGTCTATGTGTTATTCTTTTGAACTATGGTGCTGGAGAAGACTCTTGAGAGTCCCTTGGACTGCAAGAAGATCAAATCAGTCAATCCTAAAAGAAATCAACCCTGACTGTTCCCTGGAAGGCCAGATAATGAAGCTGAAGCTCAAATACTTTGGCCACCCAATGAGAAGGGAGCACTCACTGGAGAAGACCCTGATGCTGGGAAAGATTGAAGGTCAAAGAAGACGGGGACGGCAAAGGATGAGATGGTTAGACAGTGTCATAGATGCAACGAACATGAAATTGAGCACACTTCAGAGGACAGCGGAAGACAGGAAGGCCTGGCGGGATCTGGTCCATGGGGTCGCGCAGAGTCGGACTCGACTGTGCGACTGAACAACAACAAAATGTGTTATTGAATCCATTTGGAATCCGTTATGTATGTGTACAGGTGTTCGTTTTACAGGTGCTTATTAATCCATTTTAAAAACGAAGAGGCTGTATTACAATATCTACCTCAAATATACATTTAACTCTGAGTTACTATGCATTACAGTAAAGCAAAAAAACCACCTCACTCTGTGCGCACCAACTTGCGTTTGTCAATTGAAGGGGGGGAACCGACCAATGACTTTACAATCCCCACCCCTGACATCAGTGCCCGCCCATTCTCCCTAGCCAATAAGAATCTAGTTCTAACATTTCACAACTAAATTGGCTCGCAGAAAGGGAGAAAGTGACGATACGGACACAGCGAATCAGGGAGCCCATCACCAGAAGCCGTGAGCTTCTTAGATTTTCTGCTCTAGTCTATTTTCATGCTGTTACCCACGATCTAGTATTGATTTATTGACCAAAAGTTCAGACCTGTGTGTACCCTCCCACCCTCTTCTTCGAACGTCTCTGCTACGTTCTTAGTATATTTTACTGTATCAACCGATTCAACACTCCATTGACCCAGCCGCATTCAAGTCAGTTCTGTTTGATCTGCTTAATAAGGCACGTGTAACACCCAAGTTGCGATAAGCTGAGGTGGCTCAAGTGGTTAAGACGCTGAACTGCAGGCTGTGGAAGGTCAGTAGTTCAGCAGTTCGAGACCCGAGTTGCCGCAGGACGGAGTGAGCTCCCGTCTCTAGTTCCAGCTCCTGCCAACCTAGCAGTTTGAAAGCAAGACATTGCAAGCGGATAAATAGCTTACCACTCCAGTGGGAAGGTAACAGCGTTCCGTCGCTGGCTTTGAAACTGCAACCCTAGAGTCGCTCGACTGGCTTTCGAGCAAGGGAACCTTTACCTTTAAGACCCAAGTACCTCCTCCTCAGTAGAGGGGACGGGCTCTTTTTGTAGCAGGAACTCCTTTGCCTATGAGGCGACACACCCCTAATGTAGCCAATCCTCCAAGAGCTTACAGTAGCCCCTGTAAGAAGAGCTCTGTAAGCTCTTGGAGGATTGGCTACATTAGGGGTGTGTCACCTAATATGCAAAGGAGTTCCTGCTACAAAAAGAGCCCAGGAAGGAATACCATCAGCTACTTCTCCTTCCATCTCAAAGCTGCCAGTTTCAGACAAACAATTCTTTGGTGTGTTTGTTCAGATCCTGTAGCAAAGTTTTTGTTTTTTTAAACTCCAGAATGGTATCATTTCAATCTGCCCCCCCTTTTCCTGGTTCCATTTATTTTAATTGAGGGGAGAAATGGAGTCCTGCACTTTACAGATGTTTGTGCTGCTTCAGTGAGTCCAGTCAAAAGGGGGGCAGGCAACTGTTGCAACAAGTCCCTATTTGTTCTCTTTACTTCCTGCATACCACATTTTTCTTCCCAGTAAGGAACCACAGAGGCTTACGTTCTATTATCCTCCATTTTATCTGCACAACCACCCTGAGGTGGGTTAGGCAGTGACTGCTCCAATGTCATCCCACAAGCTTCCATGGCATAGTGGGGGATCAAACCCACTTCTCCAGATCCTGCTCCACCACTAACCACTGCACCCTGACGACTGAAGGGAGTTAATATAAAACTGAGGCTGCGTAGAGTGTGGTCCAGAGGTCAGGGTGCTGGGACCAGGTTCAGGAAGACTCAGGTTCAAATCCTTCCTCGCCTGAAACTCACCTTGGGCCAATGATGATCTTGAATTGCCCAGCCTACCTTACAGGGTTGTTTGAGGATAAACTAAGAGGAAGAAGAAGAAATTGGATTTATACCCCGCCCTTCACTTGGAGTCTCAGAGCGGCTGACAAACTCCTTTCCCTTCCCCTCCCCACAACAGACACCCTGTGAGGTAAAAGAAGGAGATTGGATTTATACCCCGCCCTTCACTACCCAAAGGTGTCTCAGA